TCGCGTCCCTGGAGCCTCAAGCTTTGCCACCCCGAGCTCTTCTCCGCCCCGCGCCGGCCTTCCAGCCTCTCCGCACCTTAGCCAGGACAGCTAGCCCCGCCCCCTGGCCTCCCAGCCCCTGACCTTTTTTCCGGCTCGCTGCCCCGCCCCAGGCCCCTCAGTCCCACCCCAGACTCCTCCCCTTTTCCCCCTTGGGAGCTCCGCCCCTGGCCCAATGCCCCGCCCCTGGCCTCTCGTTGGGCTCCTCGGGCGTCGCCTCCTAGTCTCCGGCCTCCCCACAAACTCCCCCAGCCCCCTCCCTCTCCGCGCCGCCACTGCTCCGCCCCCTTTCTTCCCGCTCCCTGGCCTCCCAAGTTCTCCTACCTCCCACAGGGCTCCATTAGTTCCCAGCTCTCATGACTTCGCCCCTTCAGCCTCACCACCACCCCCAAGCCCCGTCAATCTCCTTGTCTCCCTCCACCCGGAATCTGCCCACTTCTCCCTTGCCCGGCACATGCAGCTGTCAGTCTCAGGTTCCCGCGCTGCCAGGGCCGCCCATCACCCCCTTTAGCTTCGCCCCCCGCGTGCCCTGCCTCCAGGGTCTGTGTATCTCCGCGCCCCTGGGTAACTGTGTGATTTGGGGAAAATTACGTCCCTTCTTGGAGCTTCATTTTCCTTCTCTGCAAAATGAGAAGTCTGAGGCTCCCTTGATTATGATGTTGCGAAGAAAGAACGTGCGTGTACCCGACAGGCTCTCAGTAACGTGCTACCCCCTACTCAGCCCTCTCACACCTCCACCTCCACCCCCGCCTTGTTTCTTCCTGGGCTCAGTCTGGCGCCTTTCACCCCTCAACCTCGCTCACCATCCCTTCCAGGCTAAAGACTGCCACTCCTCCTGACATCCACTAACCTCTTCCTCTTGGGAACCACCTATATCCTTGGGTGGATGGATGAGTGATGAGGTCCAGGATAGAAGTCCATTTAGTTTTAGTTCTAGAACCTGAGGTTCTCTGGAAAAGATAAAATATCAGGTAAAAATATCAGGGAAGCACCAAGGTGAAGAACATTGGTTTCGGAGGCTGACAGATCTAAGTTCCAATCCTCGTGCTGCTATTGACCAGCCGTGTGCAGCTGGGGAAATTGCTTGCTTCTCTAAGCATGAATTTCCTCTTAAAATGGTCCAATGGTATTTTACCCCATAAGGTGATTGAGAAAATTATATAGATTTGCATAGAAAAAGAAAATTTGAAAAGATATGCACTAAAATATTACTAGTTGCGGACATTATAAATATTTTTTTTTCCTTTCGGGTAATCTGTATATCTTAATTTTTTTGTAAGGAACATATATTACTTGTGTGATATAATTTAAAGTTGAAACAATATGTATAATCTGGTGGAAGAGACAGGACGAATATGCTGTGAAATACAACTCTGGTGTGTCTCAGTAGTCTTTCAACCTACTCTAGTCTGTTTTCTGCCCCACCTACCCAAAGAGTTATTTTAAGGTCAACTACCCAAAGAGTTATTTCAAGGTCAGCCAGGATCGCCTTCTCTTAAAATGAAACTGGCACTTCTCTTGCTTGACTTCTAGGAGCATCTGGCACTCCCTCCCTCAAGCGTCTATTCCCTTGAATTCTGCGACGATCATTTTCCTTGGTGGTCCTCTTTCCTCTCTGACTCCTCCTGGCGGTCCTTTCTGAGCTGTTCTTCCTTTGCATGTATCTTAAATGCTGGAGTCACTGGCAGGTCTCTGCTGGACCCTCTGCTCTCTCTACCTAGGCTTCTCCGACACCTTCACCCAACCCCACAGCTTCCTTTATACCATCAATGTCGATGTTTTCTCTATTAGTTTCCTATTGCTGCTGTAACAAATGACTGCAAATTTGGTGGCTTAAAACAACATACATTTATTCTCTTACAGTTCTGGAAGTCAGAGTCTGAAATGAGTTTCACTGGACTGAAATCAAGATGTCTGCAAGGCCGCACTTCCTCCGGAGGCTCTAGGGGAGCATCCCTTCCTTACCTTTTCCAGTTTTTAGAACTGCATTCCTTACATTCTTTAGCCTGTGACCAGCTTCCTCTGTCTACAGGGGCATCTTGCTTCTGTGTCATATTGCCTTCTTTTCTATGGTCACATCTTCCTCAGTTATAACCACAATTTGTGATTACATTTAGGGCCTGCCTGCCTAATTTCTCCATCTCAAGATCCTTAAATTAATCACTTCTGCAGAAGTCCTTTTGCTGTATGAGATAACATTTATCAGTTACAGGAATTAGTATCTGAATATCTTTGGGGGCCATTATTGAGCCTACCACATCTTCTAAGTCTCTATCTCCAGCCTGGACCCTTTTCTGGCTTGAGATTTATGTATCCCAACTGCCTATGGGATGGTTTCACGTGGCTATCTCACAGACAGACACCACAAACTCTACATGTCAAAAATGAATTCACCACCTTGTACCCTGCCCTTGGCCCCAGCTTTTTCTCTGTCTCTGTCTTGGTGGAAGGCATCACCATACACCCCCTGGGAGCCAACCTCTCCATCTCCTTCCACCAGCCTCCACTCAATCATTAAGTCTTATCACTGCCTCCTATATGTCTCGCAAATGTGGCCACCTTCTCCATCTCCAGGCCAACCCCAGTGCAAGCCACACTATCTCTCACCTGCTTACCAGTCTTTCTGCCCCCTGTCTTGCATATCTAATCTGGTGCTCCCCCGCTTAGAACCCTTTAGTGACCCCCATTGCTCTCTGGATGAAAGACAAACTTTCTTCATGGCTACCTGGTCCTGCATGATCTCAATGCTCCCGCTATTTACAGCCATGATCTGAGCCCCCCCGCCTCCCCCACACTATTCTTCCCTCTGCCTGTAACACTCCCTCACCTCCTTTCAGCTGGCCTAATTAGATGTCAACCCCTCCAGGAAGTCTTCCCCAATATCCTTCTAGGGACACCTATTGGACCTGGTATCCCCTGCCACAGCACTTCTCATTGTGGCCTGTAATCAAATCACCTGTTAGCTGGCCCACTTATTTATTTATTGAGCACTTACTTTGTAACAGTCACAGTGCCAATGGCTATATGAGTAATAGCTCACTCAATACTCACTCCATACTCACAATAACGCAATGAGGTAGATAACATTATTCTTCTCATCTCTGTGTCATAGATGGGAAAACTAAAGCTTAAAGAGATTAATGTGTATAAAGTCAGAATGAACAAGTAGTATAACCAACATTCAAACCCAGGTTTTCATGACTCCAAATCCTGTTTGTTTTGTTTTGTTTGGTTTTGTTTTATTAGTCACTGAACTATGATACCTAACTAGAAAATATGTCTTTTTGTAAATTAAGTAACTATAACTGTTTAATATATTCTCTTCTATAATTAAACTTGTAATTAAAATATGCTACCCACCAGAGGCGGAATGCTGTCATAATGCTGCAGGCTAACAAATGCTTTCCTATTTTATAAAGTAGCTACTTCAGTGTTAAATTCTGTATCAAATGGAAAGACATGTACTACTGACGATGGGCCTTCCTCTGAAGCATAAGTTTTATTTCAAGATTTTGAGAAGAAAATGGAAAAATCAAATGTTAAATAAATTACAGAATGATACAGAAATAAGATAAACCCAGATCTATATCAGTGTAGGTTACAAAATTTTTAGGAGTTTTCAAAGAAAAGATGTGTCTTCTAGGAAATTTCTAGTTGCTTCAAGCTGTTTCCCCTATGTAAACATTCACTTTATTAGGGCTATTTCAAGGGAAGAGTTTGAGACAGACAAATAAAATAGCCGTTTCTAGTTCCCTTCACCAGCCTATACAAATCTGACTCTTTGGAATCCATTTGTTCATACAACAAACATTTATTAAGCAGCTCTAGATATATTCCTGAGCAGAAACGAGGAGCGGGGAGGCTATGGATTCAAAGATGGGCAAAACAGGGAGCAGTTTTCAAGGAACTTGTACTAAAATAATCATAAGATGCAAATTGTAAATACTCTTAAAGAGGTCCAGTGGGAATGAAGGGTGGGGAGGAGAAAAGAGAGCCCTTTCTGAGTTTGGCTCAGGGAAGTTGGGGAGGCTTTGGAGAGGAAGGGGCACCTGAGCAGAGCCCTGAAGGATCTGAGGGAGCTGGGGACAGAATGAGCAAAGACAGGAAAGAAAGACAATACAAAAAAACCCATTCCCATCAGCATAGAGACATGCTGTATCATCTCTCATAATAAAACAATTCCTCTTGACCTTACTTCTCCCTCCAGCTACTGTCCCATTTCCCTGCTCCCCTTTACAGCAGGAGTCATTGAAAAGTCGCCACTATATTCACAGTATCCAGTTCTTCTCCTTTAATATTTTTCTTTTCAGTAAAATAACCTCTTGCTTTTATTTCAATATTATGTGAACGATTCAATTGCATTGAAATCTTCCCTACGTTTCCAGGTTTAGGGTAATCTTTAAGTCATCTGTTGATGTTTGCTATCATGTCATGGCCAAGGTTATGTTTATATTGAATCAAAATAGACAGAGGAGAAAAAAAATATAAGGATCCCAGTGTTTGATATACCTAATGCAAATTACCTCTTTCAGTGTCATAATTTTCTAAATGGAACCTCTTAAAGGAGCTTATCTTTATTTCTTCATGCAACCACTAGCACAGAATCAGGAGCAACGTCTTCAACAATCGTCCACCAGCATCACTGGATTATTGTGCTTGATTTTTCAGTCACAGGCAAACTACAATCTGTCAAGAGGAGAATCCAGGATGTGAGGTAGGGAGGGGGAGGTAAACTCAGAGATGCCCTGGAGGCATGCTCCCAGAGCCCATGGGAACAGCAGTAGGAGTTTAGGAGGGAGG